TAAAGGAAAAGTTTGTTTATAATCTAAATGAGTTAAAAGACGTTCCAAAGGTCATGGTGGAAAAGAGCGAGTGGTTTCGAAAAGTGAACCTTATCTCGGCTGATGATGATGATGATAATGATAGTCTTATAAATATTGACATTCGTGAGCACTCATTGATGTTATTTAGAATTAGATGTCTATTGTCTAAACTTTTGTTGTTGAAAATTATACATCGAAATTGTACTGATGGGCAGCAGATATTTTCACGAACCCTAAAACATTTTCTCTTTCAGTTCCTTGATTTCGTGTTTATGTTTGTTGAATTTTTGCTCAGCCCAGGTCATAATATGTTAGAGATGAGTAATCAATATATTTTTCAAACCTATTTTCTTTCTTTCTGCTGCATGTGTGTTGAAAAAAGAGCAGCTGAAAACCATTTCAGAACTTTACTCAGGGAATAAAATGAGCGCAAACCTGCTGTATTACACAGATTCTAGAAGTTTATAAATCTGCAAACAAATATTTGAAACTATTATAAAGAAAAACATACAAACAGTTATTATCGTATGTTCATACTTCATGTCTAATTGGACCATGATCTGTTATATTGGACGATGAGTTTCAGATTCGGTTCAGAGTTCGCTGATAAGTTTATAATGTTTACTCATATTACAAATATCATCAATTAATTTAACGATATGTTTTATATGTGTTACAAAGATCAGAAAGTTTTATTACTTGCTCTAAAATTGAGATATAATGTGTGAAATATACCAAGGTTCTAATCCGTAAAAAAGAATCAGTGGGAAAAAAGTCATTTCACATAAAAGCGTTTAGCATGTCAGGATATGATCAATCATTACCTTTGATGTAAAATTTATGGTCTTGAAGTTGGTCAATAATTAACTCGACTCTGCAAGTCGTTGCATGCTATAAATGCAACAACAAGATTAAAAACAATTCGATTGTATTAATTATTCTTTAATTTTACAGGGTTGTGAACAAAATAGTTCCGACCTAAAATTTGACAAGTATAGAAATGTAAAATGAAAAGTAGACGACTATTAAAAATCTAAGATATCAAAAATATAAAACCAATTTAATTTTCATAAAGGATAATAGATTTTGTGATCCGAGATATTAAAAAACCAAAAGTGTGGGGGACAACAATCTGACAGTTCACAGTATGCGTATATTAGACCTGGCAACTGCAAAAACCCTGAATGTTTCACGAATAGCCTAGGGCGGCCATTTTCCAGGGCAAAAACGCTTTGATTCGCACTTTGCAAAAAATTAGTTTTATGTCAATTTAGATTCAGTGATTTCGGCGCATTACATTTTGAAAGAATCTGTAACACTCGTTAAGTTCGCGATCGTAGCATGCAGGCAAAACTCCTGGGGGTGTTACACAAAGATTCCAAGTCGAACTTAACTCTAAGTTGGACTTAAATATTATGGAGTGCCAGTTGTAGCCTTAAAATAAAATATATTAAAAAGTGAAAAATAAAATATTTTATACTTTTATAAATAAGTTCCACATCAAGAGCATGAAATCTCCTTTATAATAGAAAATATGAATGAATTGTATCAACATTTTATGCCTTTTAAGTAACTTTTTTAACAACAAAATTCATAGATGCTAACGCTTTCCACAATTGTCCAACCTAGAGATAAGTTCAACATAGGATCTTTGTGAAACACCCCCTGGTTTATAGTGATTGCAACAAGGCGATTAACATTTCCCATATGATATTATTATTCTAGATCTTACCTGCCCTAATCCCAGCGAGTGCCAAGGTCACAGTACATGTGAACTAATCGCATACCAGACTCCGTCATGCATCTGTCTACCTGGATATACGGGGTCAGCGTGCATTGATGGTAAGGTATTTTATAAATCCACTGACTCGAAGTCAGCGGGTTGATAATTATAAAGATTAACATTTAAAGTGCAAAATAATCTATAAGTCTCTCTTGTTACATAATCTTTCTTTACTGATAATCGAATACAATCCCACCGCCGCCCAACCGACACCTCGCCGACTCCAGGCCGACTGATTCTGTGCCATTAGGAGTATCAAGTGTATTTTTTGTTTCAACTGTTGTCGGTCTGGTGTCGGTATTGCCGATGTGAATAAGGTTTTCATTGATAATTTATGATTTGAGTAACTTTATTAAGTTTAATAGTATATAATTTATGTACCGACACGTACATGTATATTGCATATTTTTGGGGTGGGGGGAAAGAGCTCAAGGGAGATTATGTGTACAAAATGGGTGCAAGAACCCCCCCCCCCCACACACACACACACACACACACACACACTTTTGTACTTGTAGAACCGCTCATGGGTATTCCCTAATAATTCCTTAACATTGGTAACACGTTCAACATACAGACATTGTAATTAAATACAAAAGATAAATAATTTGAGTGATAACATCACAGTTATTCCACTTTTTATTCCAAAGGGTTATACAACATTCATTCCACTGTCAAATAGCAGCTCGTTTTCGCTTGCTTTTTAAACTAATGATAAAAGAAATGTTCCAAGGTTGTTTGACAACGTAGAGTAAATCATTGGCAAAAATATTTATATAAATTATGAAGCATATCGACAGGAAAAAACCCACATCCACGCCTAAAGACACACACATACACGCACCTACCCACCACAACATGCACACTACACTTTATATACATTTAATTATATTGTGTAAGGAAATAACATGTACAACAGCTTTGGTCGTATTAAACGTATGTGTGTGTGTATATATATATATATATAGAGAGAGAGAGAGAGAGAGAGAGAGAGGGGGGGTTATGTTCTGCAAATGGTTATTGTTATCATCTGCCTTTTTTGCTATTACAGTTATAACGTGTACTCTACCTGATGCTGCGAGTTCCGAAACCCATTTCGAGAACCCCAGCTCCATTTACTATAACGACGAAACTCTGGATGAGGTTTGTGATAATGGCTATGATAGAATAACATATGTGTGCAATGGATACACTGGCACTTGGTATACAACATCATCAATCGACTGTACCACCCCTCCTAATCAAGGTAATATAAATCTATGATTACACCACACTGCTACCCCCCCCCCCCCAAATAAGATTTAACCCGCGATAAACTTGTTAAATATATAGTTTATTTCAGGTCTTGTGATGTCATTGTGAACTAAACAGTATTGAATTGGAAGCTATTTTGAAAAGTTGATTATGAAGTCCATAAAATTGGCACATGGTTGGAGATCATCAAAATAGCGGGAAATTGCCCTAACCTTGCTGATTGCCACATGAACTGCAGAATAAGGCCTGACCTCATCAGCTCGTTTGCCAAATAACCATTTTCAGACTCGGGATATTTTCCCGAAGCTCGAAATTGCGTCTATACCAGACCGATACGCTCATCATAAACTAGCTCGGAAAATAAACCCGGGATTGACTGAGACTAAATCTCCCTCCCGAACCCCTCTCACCGCCGCCTTTCTCCCTCTCTTATCATCTCTTCCTAAAGCTAATAGTAACGAAGATATGCTCTCTATATATTACACCTTGTAAAAGTGAAATCTGTTTGTGATTGCAGACTTGTTTGCATGTTTCAGAATTCTCTCAACTTGTCATGAATGTGCATATTTTGAAATCATCGTACTAGTTGTAGGTAGTGTTTGACAATGCCTGTCATATCTATATACTTTGAAACTTTAGATGTTAAAGTGGAACAAATAAACTTCAAACTTCAAACTACTTCAAACATTTCAAACAGCGTTTACAAATTTAATTCGAGGAAAATGCAAGTCAGGGTTATTTAAAAGAATAATATTTAGACTGTTGATGGCACCACAGTCGCAGGGCACGAGCTTCATATTAGAGTTTTATACTTATATATCAGTTAGTTAAAAAAAAGCTCACGTTAACAGGTCGTGCCGTGCTCCGCATTCCGCTAAAATTTCAGTTCAGTTCATATTTTTAATTATACTGAAATTCTATGATTTTTGCAATTCAGGGGTATTTAAATTTGTTTTTTATTTAAACTGTTTATGAAACCACAGTCGCATGGCACGAGCTTCTAACTTGAGTTTTATACTTATATATCAGTTAGTTATAAAGCTCACGTTAATAGCTCGTGCTATGCTCCGCATTCCGCTAAAATGTCAGTTTAGTTCAGTACATGTTGAATAGGCATATCTTGGAAACCTCCCCATGCACAAATAGTAGACAAAGAAATAAATTAGTTGACAAAAAAGTAGTAAATGACAGACTAGTATATAAGATGTTAGAAAAAGAATGAAATCATACGTAATGTTATCTTTTTAAAATTTTGTTTACATTAATGCCATTCTATATTCATAGGACTATCTCAGGGCGCTGTGATTGGCGTTTCTTGCGGTGTCATTATCGCCATCGTTTTATTTGGAGCAGTGTGTTTTAGGACGTGAGTTGTTTATCAAATTTACTATTCTTATATTTAGAATAAATACGTTCATCTGATACAGATAATAAAGGACTGAATTAGTTTTGTTTTACTTATCTATTTATTTATTTGATATTTATTTATTAATTCATTCGTCGTATATGTTTAATAAGCTATATGTTTATTCATTCATTCATTAACTATGTTACTTAGTCATTTATTGATTGATTGATTAATTATGAATTAATTATTTATTAGATCTCTTTTTTTCTTCATCCATTCATGAAGATAAAAACTAGATACATCTTCGATGGTAATTCTAATTTAAAGATCCGCCCTTCATTAAGGACAAATGCATCCTTTTCGTACTCTAAGTTATAACTTTAAAAAGATGAAGAAGAAAAAAAGTTTAAAGGCATCAAACAAAAATCACGATAAGCTTTTGTTAGTCCCAAGACATTTCATTGTAAAGAGGAAAAAGGGGGGCAGTTTAAACATTTTTAGAAGTGAATAGCAACATGGCAACTGATGTTATGTTAATATTATAAACATTGTATATATTCTAGGTATAAGAACTCTCGAAGAACTGTCCCACCTATGACCCAGACCACAGCCCCGGCGGTTGTTCCTGGAACCTACACGCTACCCACAGTTAACTATGAGGGTTCTGGTGCCCAAGTTCAGGGAGGACCAACCGTGATGGGAGCTGTTGGATGGACCCCACCTGCCGGTCCCCTTCCCGAGAAGGGTCCGATACAAGGTGGGCAAGCAGCCCCTGCCGAAATACCCCCTCCAGAATATTCGTTCGTGATAGATAATCCAGCAACCAGCACAAGCAACAACCCTTCTTAAAATGAAAAAAGAGAAAGAAAGAAACAAGCAAAAACGAAACAAATAGAAGGAAGGAATGTAATAATATCATAATAAAACGTAATCTTATGAAACTGTACAGGCCTAGAATATGTGCGTGTGTGTGGGCGGGTCTGTGTAATTTCCTCTTTTAGAAAATCCCCTATAGTAGGCTACAATCGGAATAATACGCTTTTTTTCTTTCTAGTTGTAGCAATTTTATATTTTAACCAGATACCGGTAACCCTATCTGCATATGCGTTACTTGTACAGCTTAAAACTTTTTAACCACAGCAAGTCACTATTATTGACTGCTTAAGTATACGGATTCACAATTCAATCACAAAGTTTAGATAATGATTATTATGTAATTTGTATGTATCATAATGTCTGTTTTTTTTAGATAATACAACAGGAAATTGGAAAGACATGTGTAAACATTGGTTTGACTGTTTGGGAGGGCTGCATCTACTGCTCAATTGCAATTATACTGATTATACTTTAACTCTCTTAAAACTTATAAATGTCCCATATTTTATATAGAATTATTACATGCATGGTACCTCATAAACAAATACACATCAGCTGAATGTCAGACACAGAAACATGTCGACGAAAATATTTTATGGTATAATCAAGATATTGTTTTTGAAAAGAAAATGTTATTTTATGAAGACTGGTATAAAAGTGGTATTATATACTTAAATGATATCTTTAAAAATGGTACTTTTGTTTCAGTAAATGAATTATTTATCCGCCTTAAATCTAGGAGAAGTAAACAATTTTTGATTTTTGACTATACAAAGTTACAAAAATCAATTCCAAAAATTTGGATAAATGATAAGCATAGGGTACCTTTGGTTTTCAAAGACCATAATTTCTCTATCCCCCATTTTGTATTTGGAAAATCAGTTAAGCCTGTTAGTCTTTTGAGTAGTAAACAGTGGTATAATATGATTAGTTTTGAACAAATTAAAATAAATAAATGTTGTTTGTATTGGGAAGATGTCTTGCAGAAGGACGTTAAATGGTCCTCTGTTTTTAATAGGAATTTGATTGGGATAAACGATTTTCGTCTACGTGAATTTAATTTCAAGCTTTTATATAATATGTTACCAGTTCGTAACAATCTGTTCAAGTGGGGTCTCTCATACGATGACCTTTGTTTAAAATGCAAAAAGACTGAAGATGTGCTTCATGCTTTCATTTCATGTAAGGCAAATGAAACCTTCTTTGCATATTTAAAGGACTTATTTTCACGTGCTTTCAATCTTAGAATAGAGATAGATATTGTTTTATTACTCAAAATGAATTCGCAAACCGAAATCGATTTGATAATGACTATTGCTTTTTGGTCGATTTATAAAATGATTATTTTTCGTAATAAGTATGGGTATGATAATAGAGATTTGAGTTCGATTTACTTATTTAAGAGAGCAATGACTAACAGAATAGAAATAAACGAACATTTGAAAGTACAAAATATGAAATTTCCTGCGAATTTGCTTAGTTATATTTGAATAAATAACTTGTGTATTTTTGATGTTCCATTGATTTGCTGAATTGTAAGCAAAATGATGTTATTGTTTGAATATTGAATAAACACCTCTAAGAGGCAAAGAGAGAAAAAAAAAATGATGTCTGTTTTGTTATGGGGAACCCCAACACAAGCCTGATGTTTTTAGGGAATTTTGCCCCATTTCTACATATAATTGTGAATATGTATTTCATGATATTTACATGTGTTTTTTTGAAGGAAAGAAATTTTGATTGATTTGAATTCAAAGTTAAATACGTTCACTATGTAGCAATTACAAGCCTGATTTGATGAATGTCAATTTATGAATTAAAAATATAATCAGAGGTATGAACTTTGTTATTAAACGGGGGCCTGTTTTGCAGGCCAAACATGTCTCAAAGCTTCTGACATAATATGTAATTATTATAAATGATACTTTTTCAGTTCAAAGGTCTAAACGTATTAACACTTCTCGGTGTCAATGCAAACAAGTTTTAAAACTGAGATGTTTGATTTGTTTAAAATCTGTATTTCCTCACTAGGAGGGAGGTAGTAGAACATAGTGGTGGTTATTTTATTTTACCTGACTGCTAAAAAAGCTTAAAGTGGAATTGGGAACTTCTCTGTTCGTGGGTATTTAAATAAATAGATAAAATATAATCAGAGGTATGAACTTTGTTATTAAACAGGGGCCTGTTTTGCAGGCCAAATATGTCTTAATGCTTATCAACACGAGTGTGGCTAGGAGGGATTAGACCACACAGCGAGGTCACTGACAGGTGGCTATCTCATCAACTCAGCTCTCAAATAACATAAGAAATAGAGGATCATGAATGACCAACAGGCACTGATTGGGGAAGTTTTCTATATAGAGGAAGCAAGTAGGTACAAGTAGGACAGTGGGGCTTTAAACCTTCTGACATAAATGATACTTTTTTAGTTCAAAGGTCTAAACGTATTTACACTTCTCGGTGTCAATGCAAACAATTTTAAAAACTGAGATGTTTGATTTGTTTAAAATCTGTATTCCCTCACTACGAGGGAGGTAGAAGTACAAAGTGGTGGTTATTTTGTTTTACCTGACTGCAGTGGCATACCTGTGGTACTCCGTCAGGGGGGGGGGGGGGCAAGCGACCGAAACAAACAAAAAAAGGCGATGCTAATTTTCAGTTCTGGCGAGCGAGCGAGCGAGCAAAAAAAAATCTTTAAGTAACGTTTGGTATATAAACTGGTATTGTTGCTAGTTGGGGTGGGAACATTAACTTGTTGCAAACGAGCGTAGCGAGCAAGAAAAAAATCACTTCTTTTTTAATAATTGCCTCTTAAACTTGGTTCAATTGTCCCATGCAGGGCGCGGGAACAATATTGTGTTTAGGGTGATTTTATACCCATTTAGCTAGCGAGCGAAAATACATCTTTCTCTCTATGAATTGCTATATAAATTTGTTTCATTGTTGCAGTTCGAGAGTGGGTACAATCGTGTTTTAGGCAATGTCAATCCCAATTTGGCGGGCAGGCAACCCCTTACATTTCTCTTTTTAATGATAATGTAACAGGTTAGTGGTGGGCACATAATTCCACGAGCTAGCGAGCGAGAAAAAAAAATCACTTCTCTTTTATAGAGAAAATATGGTACATACAACTTGGGTTCATTGTTTTATGTCAGGGACGTGATTATTAAAAGCGGTGTTATTTCTATTTTGGCAACGAGCAAAAAAAATTACTTCTCTTTTATAGGGAAAATATGGTACATAAACTTGGGTTCATTGTTCCATGTCAGGGACGTGATTATTAAAAGCGGAGTTATTTCTATTTTGGCGAGCGAGCGTAGCGAGCGAGCAAAATTTTTGTAATGATAATTGATTTAAAAATTTCAGATTTTGTTGTTGTAGAGCAGGGCTTACACAATCATGTCAAAGGTGATTCCGTTAATTCCGTTTGGCGAGCACGAGCACATCGAAACTTCTTTGAATAACGCTCGGTACATAATTATTAACTGGTTGTTGCAGGTTGGGGCGGGCACGTTAGCGGTGTCAATTCCATTTTGGCGAGCGAGCATACCGAGCAAGCAAAAAAAATAAATTCTCTTTGAATAGAAATTAATAAATACACTTGTTTTTATTGGTGCAGGTCAGGATGGACGCAATCGCGTTTAACGCGATTCAATTCCTTTTTGGCGAGAGGGCGAAAAAACTCTTCCATTTATAATGATATATTTGCAGGTCAAGGGTGGGCACAATTGTTTCCAAAGCAATGTCTATTCATTTTATTCGCGAGGGAGTGTAGCGAGCGAAAAAAATGAATTAGTCTCTTTTAGTAACATTTGGTACATACATTGTGTGTTATTGTTGCCATGGTTGCAGGTCAGGGTCCGTCGGGGCAGGCACAATTGTATTCTAGGCAATGCTAATCCTTTTTTTTTTCAGGGGGACGAGCAAGTGAAAACAATTTATACAAAATAGGCTAGCAAGCAGTTCGCGCCAGCGAAGAGTTTCGAGCGACCGAACTGGTCATGAGGGTTTTTTTGCATTTTCAAAAGTAGAACTGAAGGATTTGGTGTAGGCCTAGACTACATTTTCAGGAAAAAACTGTACGTTTCAAAATAGCTGGGGTCAACTGCCCCCCCCCCCCTAGTGCGTACGGCCATGGTCTTTTTTTTTTAATTTCCCCATTTTTTTTTCCTTTCCTTTTCTTTTTCCTTTTTCTTCCTTTTCTCTTCTTCTTCCTTTTTTCTTTCCTTTTCCTTTTTTCCCTTTTTCTCTTTCTTTCCTTTTTTCTTTTTCTTTCCTTTCCTTTCTTTTCTTTTCTTTCCCCTTTTTCATTTTTTGCCCTGGAGCCCGTCAGGGGGGCACTCTGCCCCCCCTCCCCCCCCCATAGGTACGCCAGTGCCTGACTGCTAAGAAAGCTTAAAGTGGAATTGTGAGCTTCTCTGTTCGTGGGTATTTAAATAAATAGATATTAGTAAGTACCAATAAATTTATGAAAATCAGTTGACCGCCAGATATGAAAACAAAAATCAATTGATGGAATGGCAGTGAACGAGGAGAGGGGGTGGGAGCTTGGTTTATATCAACTACAGTGTACCACTTTGTTTGGTGTCATTGGTCAGGGGACATTGCCATAAATGAGTAGTAAAGCTGGCTCATCATGCTCATGTCGTACTTATATATAGTCTTTTCACTAAACCAGATTTTCTGTAATGATTTTTAAGGGAATTTTAATTCAGTTGAGTTAGTTCTTTAGAATCTAATTTAAGATGATACTGAACTGATGAACGTTCTGCCCTATCGTAGTGTTTAGTGCACGGCGCCATCGCAAAGTCAACTGGCCAACAGTACGTAACCCACTGAACTCTACACTAGTACGGTGGAACCAACAACCCATCGAGTTACGGGACCATACTGATACAGCTGACCTGAGATGGCGTTAGAGCCT